TAATCTTTGCTCTTTCTAATTAGTATGTATTATTTTCTTTCTTGCATTTAAAATGTATCTATTTATTTATTGATTGATTGATTCATTAATTTGTTTATTTATTATTAGGATTTTTTTCTTTCTTTTTTCCTAGTTTTTTTAACTTTTCTTCCTTTATGTGTCTCTTAGTCTTTGCTGTCTTTATTATGCATTTTCTTTCTTGCATTTTAAATGTATTTATTTTTTTATTTACTTATTTATTTGTTTGTTTATTTATTCATTTATTATTATGATTACTTTTCTTTTTTCAAACTTTCTCTACTTAATCTTTGCTCTGTTTTTCTAATTGTTATAAAATATTTTCTATTTTGCATTTTGAATATTTATTTATTTATTGTTTATTTCTTCAATAATTAATTTATTATTATGATTTTTTCTTATCTTTTTTCAAACTTTTCTTCCTTTCTTATGTGTCCCTTAATCTTTCTAACTATTATATATTTTATATTGTTTTAACACATTTTAAACTGTTTTAAACTGTTTTTAATCATTTTTATTATTTGTTTTTTTTTTCTTATACTTGTCTTTTTTATTCTTGGTTATGCAAAGCACTTTGAATTTCCACTGTAAATGAAATGTTCTATATAAATAAACTTGCCTGCCTTATTTTCTTTCTTTCATTTTAAATTTATTTATTTATTTATTTATTTATTTATTTTATTCATTATTATTTATTTTATTCATTCATTTATTCAATAGTTCATTTATTATTTATTAGGAGTTTTTTCTTTATTTCTCCTTTCTCACTCAATCTTTGTTTTGAATTCTAATTATTATATATAATAATTATATAATCTAATTATTTTATCTATTTTTTGCATTTAAAATGTATTTATTTATTCATTTAATTCTTCATTTATTAATTAATTCATTTATTCAGTAATTCATTTATTATTCACTATTCTGATTTTTCTTTTCTTTTTAACCTTTTTCACTTTTCTTTTTCTAATTTCTCCCTCCTTTCCTCCCTTTCTCCTCTTTGCTCTGTCTTTCTAATTATTATATATTATTTTCTTTCTTGCATTTTAACTTCATTCATTCATTCATTCATTCATTCATTCATTTATTCATTTGTTCACTCATTTATTCATTCATTCATTTTTCTCTTTCTTTTCTCTCTCAATTAATTCTAAACGCATATAAATACTATAAATTATCTTCTTTAAATAACTCCCATATTATTGTTGTTATTCCTATCTCTTTTACCCCCTCTTCTTAATTCATCCTTTCCGAACTCAGAACATATACACGATATAGACATGTACATTTCATACCCATAACACGCCAACAACTACATGTAGATTTAATCTCAGTTTGTGCCTTTTGTTGAATCTTTTCACGTTTTTGTTAGTCCTGCTGTGTGTATGCAAAACTGCATCTTCTTTTCACCTTTGAAAAGTAGTCTTTGTTAAAAAGCAAACCAAAAGATCATTAAACAGCCTATAGTATAATGAACAAATAAATCATTTCTTCTCTTTTGTTTTGATAGGTAGCGAAAGCAGCGTTTCAGAGGAATAATGATCCGCTGGATGCAGCTCTCTTCTATCTGGCCATGAAGAAGAAGGCTGTTCTCTGGGGTCTCTTCAGGTGCTTTAATCTCTTTTATACAGTGTTATTTCTTTCCACATCGTTGCATCTAATACGATGAATTGCTGTGGGCTCTTTGCTAAAGGAGCTGTGAAATTTGCCTCGTGTTTATTTATGTATTGATTTGCACGTAGGTCTCTGCACGATGAGAAGATGACCCAGTTTTTCAGCCATAACTTCAGTGAGGATCGCTGGAGGAAGGCGGCTTTAAAGAACGCTTTCTCTCTCCTGGGAAAACAGCGCTTTGAGCAGTCGGCTGCTTTTTTCCTGCTCGCCGGCTCCCTGAAAGACGCCATTGAGGTTTGCGGCATCCTATTTTTTAACCATCCTGAAGATTCAGTCTCAGGAGAATGTAAATGTGTCTTGTTGACGTCTTGGATGTGGAGTCTGCTGTCTTTTTTTGACGTCATAGAGTGTGTGGTCGTCTGTGAAGAGAGGAGTGTGATTGAACAGCCCTGAGCGCTTCAGTTTAGTCTAAACATGGCTGATTAAGTCGCGTGATGGACATATGACAGCTTTAGTTTACCTTGGGCTGGATGTCTGACAGCACACAGTCAAAACACAGTGATAAAGCCACTTGTGAGAGATCAAGAAAATGCATAGATTTTTGGGGGGAAAATTAGATGGTTTGAGCTGTATTTATGAATATAAATTAGACTTGCTTGTGTTTTTAGGTTGGTTATGTTTTAAAAGGGTTGATAAAATGTCCTGTTAAATCGTGAATATTCATAGTTTGCCTACAAATAAAAGTGTGCAGGTAATTTATGTAACCTTAATATATTCAAGATGCAGTTATTTACTTCAGTAGAACAATAATATGTTTCATTTTGAAGAGTTGAACTTGGTGATTTGTAAAAACACATCCATGGTTTATGAATGTAAAGATGCAGGCTAAAAAAATGATTACAATAGAATTTACAGTGCACTGAGGTCTTAAAAAATCAAGAAAATTATAGTTTTTATTAATTTCTTATAAGAATTATGGTAATTGAAATCAATTTCATGATTTCAATCAATGAGATATGCTTTTTGATTACTAAAATTCTGGAAAAATTAAAAAGAAAATGAGGGGAGATATTTATGAAATAATAATAATAATAATAATAATAATAATAATATTAATAATAATAACTTAGGATAAAAAAGTTATAATTATAGGGCTTAGTTCACAGGTGTCAAACTCAGTTCCAAAAGGGCCGCAGCTCTCCACAGTTTAGTTCCAACCCTAATTAAACACACCTGATAAAACTAATAGAGTCCTTCAGGCTTGTTTGAAACCTACAGGTAAGTGTGTTGGAGCAGGGTTGGAACTAACCTGTGCAGGTCTTCGGCCCTCCAGGAATTGAGTTTGACACCCCTGGAGTTTGTGCTTTTTGTTTAGTTATTTCTTGTTTTTGTTAGTCCTGCTGTATGTATGCGATGCCATTTCCTCGTTTTGTACAATTTTCTTTTTTTCTTTTCCACTTCGAAAAACTGAATAAAAGTAAAATAAAAAAGGGATAAAGGAAAAAAAGAAATCAATTATAGGGCACTGTAATGTGTCCAGACATTTTACCATTGAGCTTTCAAGTAATTGATGTTGCTTTCGTATATATACAGGGCTCGAAAATGTGACTGTTTTTCTCATGCAGCTGCAACCAAAAGTTTGCATAGACTGTTTAAAAAGGCACATAACCATTAAAAAAGTCAGATGTTAATGAAATAATGAAAGAGATTTTTTTTTTTTTTTGAGAAATTGTTATAACTTTTCTTGAAAGTCAAGATAAGATTACAATAAGATTATTATGCCTCAGAAAAAGCTCAGATAGCGGTGTCAAGGTTTTGTAAGTTTCTGATTGGCCAATCTGTAGGGATACTGACCAAAAGGAAGACTGTATCGTTTTAAATATTTCATCAAAATACTTATACGAGATACTAATCGAAATATTGATTTTTTTGACACTACTAACTTGAGGTAACATTAACAGTGGAAGAGATGCATTTTTATATACCAAGATTGAAAACGTGTTACATCAACAATTGAATTACACATAGTTGTTGTCTGCATGTTATCTATTGGGGTGTTTTTGTAAATAATTCATTTCCTATAAAAAAAACACACACACAAATCAGTGTATTTTAAAAGCAATTAATAAAATACTGTTTGATTTTTTTTCTTTTCCCCACTATATAATAAAATAATTAGTCAAATAATAATATTAATATTATAGTATTGTAATAATTAAGCATTGCAGATCCAAAAATGCTTAATTGTTTTGTACTAAAATAAAGCTACAATAACAATTACTAATAATGTATTTGTTTTTCATATCTTCATAGTGAAATGTATGGAGATATGTTCTTGACAAGTGGATCTGTCTGTCTAATAGGTTTGCCTGGAGAAAATGGAGGATATCCAGCTTGCGATGATAGTGGCTCGATTGTATGAGGCTGATTATGAGAGCTCCTCCACCTGTCAGGGTATCCTGTACGAGAAAGTTCTGGGCTGCAACAGAGACGGTAGTGGATTCTCCTGTCCCAAACTGCACCCGGACCCCTTCCTGAGGAGCATTGCGTACTGGATCATGAAAGACTACACCAGAGCCCTGGACACACTGCTGGAACAGATTCACAAAGAGAATGATGAGAACCCTGGTGAGAGTCACTCACTTTTACACACGCGGCTTTTATTGCTTTAACCCTGAAAAGTCTAACATACAGTTGACAATACAATTATTAGCCCTTTCTTTTTTAAATATTGCCCAAATTATGGAAAATAAGGAAATTTTCCCAGTATGTCTGATAATATTTTTTCTCTTGGAAAAACGTTTTATTTGTTATATTTTGGCTAGAATAAAAGCAGTTTTTAACTTTTTTTAAAACCATTTTAAGGTCAAAATTAATAGCCCCCTTATCCATTATATATTTTTCAATTGTCAAACTATCATTATGCAATGGCTTGCCTAATTACTCTAACGTGCCTAATTAACCTAATTTACTTAGTTAAGCCTTTAAATGTCACTTCAAGCTGAAAACTAGTGTCTAGTATAATATCATGTTCTGTCATCATGGCAAAGATAAAAGAAATCGTGTTTTAAAAATCATTCTTATAAATATCGTAGTTTTGTGGAAACTAATATATTTTACTATTTAGGACTATTTGAAAAAAAAATATATCAGAGATAGACATATGTTTGCTATTTTGTAAATTTCTTTACTTTCATTCTTGGACAATTTATTGTGTCCATGATGAATAAAAGTAAAAACAATAAATAAATGAATTAATAAAGAAGACCAAAAGGTTTTAAGACTTATACTATGACTAATACTACTTCTAATAATAAATGTTTCTTGAGCAACAGATAATCATATCAGAACAATTTCTGAAGGATTACGTTACACGGAAGAATACATTAATGATGCTGGAAATTGTGCTTTAAATCACATGAATTAATTTTGTTTTAATCTACATTCAATAAGATAATAAGTTTATGTTTATACAGTAGGACAAAATTATTTTGTCATTAAAATGTCATTAAAACACAAGTATTGACACTTCTATTGAGAAATTTTAATTCCTGTAATTAATAACAATCAGATCAATAATTCATGATATAAATATGACAATCATGTTTATGACAGATTTATGACAAGTCTGTTGGTCAAGTTAAAATGACAAAGTGTTTCCAATTTATAAAAAAAAAATCATTCATTCATACATTGATTTTCTTGTCGGTTTAGTCCCTTTATTAATCTGGGGTCGCCACAGCGGAATGAACCGCCAACTTATCCAGCACGTTTTTATGCAGCGGATGCCCCTCCAGCCGCAACCCATCTCTGGGAAACATCCACAAACACTCATTCACACACACTCATACACTACGGACAATTTAGCCTACCCAATTCACCTGTACCGCATGTCTTTGGACTGTGGGGGAAACCAGACATCCGGAGGAAACCCACACGAACGCAGGGAGAACATGCAAACTTCACACAGAAATGCCAACTGAGCCCTTTAAATTTTTTTATTAATCTCAACATTTTACCGGTAGTGTGTTTATAATTTGTACCACATTTCTTCTAAAACACAGTTTCTCTTTCTTCCAGATGTGCTGGTGAAATCCTGCAATCCTGTGGTGTTTAGTTTCTATAACTACTTGCGCACACACCCCCTGATCATTCGCCGGCACTTTGCCAACACCGAAGCACCTGTAGCTGCAGTCGGTCCGACAACAGAACGCAACAGCGCCGATGAAATAAACCTGATCGAGAGAAAGCTCTTCTTCACCACTGCTAACGCTCACTTTAAGGTGGGCTGCCCACTTCTAGCCCTTGAAGTTTTATCTAAAATCCCCAAAGTCACTAAGAAAGCATCCTCTCTGAGTAAAGGCTCGTCTGTGGCCAACATCAGCGGCGTTCTGCCGCAAGAGAATGGAGGCAAAGCTTTAGATCTCGACTGGGGAACTCCTGCGATCCCCAGTCAAGCCTGGGGAGCCGACTCGTCCGCCGGGATGGATTGGAGTCAACCGTTGGTTAAAGTAGAGGATGAGAGCCTACAGTTGGACTGGGGAGATGATAAGGGGGAGGAGGAGGAAGATGAAGAAGGTGGACTGACCATGAAGAAACCAGAGGATGAGGAAGACAAAAAGCCGTCTAAATCAGCAGCTCTGCAGCATGAAGACTCGGCCGGCGAGTCGGAGGTGGATGTTATCGCTGAACAGCTCAAGTTTAGAGCCTGTTTGAAGATCCTCATGACGGAGCTGAGGACGCTGGCCACGGGTTATGAGGTGGATGGTGGAAAACTGCGATTTCAGCTCTACAACTGGCTGGAGAAAGAGATCGAGGCCATGCACCACATCTGCAACTATAAGGTTGGTGCTCAACGTTTCATTGCAAATATTAAAATGGCTCAGATTTTGAACACATTTAGAATTTTAGATGAAACAATAGAGAAGTAGCTTCCATAGAATATAATATTGTTCATTTTTGATGGTATTTATGTGTAGAGTATATCTTAAAGTTAGAATTAAGAAAGGGGGAAATGAAAATTCTGTTTTTATTAACACGGGTCAGATCTTATCATGAGAAATTCATCCTCTCAATAAGCCTGAAACTTTTGTGTAGTTTGCACAGACAAAAAATGGCATCATATTTTTGTAGTCAAATTAGTGTTTGGATTTCATATGACCTAATGTATGGCCTGCGGTAATATTCTTTGATTCTGCCCTATTGCAACCCAATAGAATAGAAGTTTTTAAAGTTGAAAGAGTCAAAGGAGTGTTGGGGCTCAAGGTAATATCTGTTAAATTAGTACAGTGCATCTGAAAAGTATTTATAGCGCTTCACTTTTTCCACATTTTTTAGTTACAGCCTTATTTCAAAATGGATTAAACTTATTTATTTCCTCAAAAATTCAACACACAATACCGCAAAGTGACATTGTGAAAAAAGTATATTTTTTTTTAATTGTTGCAATTTTATTAAAAATAAAAAAACTGAAAAATCAGATGTAAAGAAGTATTCACAGCCTTTGCGGTGAAGCTCTAAATAGAGCTCTGGTACATTCTGTCTCCACTGATCATTCTTGAGATGTTTCAGCAGCTTAATTGGAGTTCACCTGTGGTAAATGTAGTTTATTGGACCTGATTTAAAAAGTCATACACCTGTCTATATAAGGTGCCAGGGTTGACAGTGCATGTCAAAGCACAAACCAAGCATGAAGACAAAGGAATTGTCTGTAGATTTCCGAGACAGGATTGTCTCGAGGCACAAGGCTAGGGAAGGTTACAGAAAATTTTCTGCTGCTCTAAAAGTTCCAATGAGCTCAGTGGCCTCCATTATCCTTAAGTGGAAGATGTTTGAAACCACCAGGACTCTTCCTTGAGCTGGCCGGCTATCTAAGCTGAGTAATCAGGGGAGAAGGGCCTTAGTCAGGGAGGTGATCAATAACCTGATGGTCACTCTGTCTGAGCTCCAGCGTTCTTCTGTGGAGAGCGGAGAACCTTACAGAAGGCCAACCATCTGTGCAGCAATCCACCAATCATGCCTCTATAGTAGAGGGGCCAGACAGAAGCCTCTCCCCTTCTGGAATTTGTCAAAAGGCATCTGAAGGACTCTCAGACCAGAAGCAAAATACTCTGGTCTGATGAGACTAAAATTGAACTCTTTCGAGTGAATGCCAGGCGTGACGTTCGGAGAAAACAAGGCACCGCTCATCACCAGGCTAATACCATCCCTACAGTAAAGCATGGTGATGGCAGCATCATGCTGTGAGGATGTTTTTAACAGCAGCAGGAACTGGAAGACTAGTCAGGATAGAGGGAAAGATATACGTGTGTTTTTCAGTTTTTTTTTTTTTTTTAACAACTTTGCAACAATTTCAAACTATTTTTTTTTTTTCACATTGTCATTATGGGGTATTGTGTGTAGAATTTTGAGGAAATAAATTAATTTAATCCATTTTGGAATAAGACTGTAACATAAAGACATGTGGAAAAAGTGAAGCGCTATGAATACTTTCCGGATGCACTGTACATACATGCATACATGCATAAACGTACAAATACAAAATATGAAATGTTTCCCATAGAGATGGTTTTTCAAGCCCTCTCACCTGCATTAAGTACACTCAGAAAATAACATTTTAATTATATCGTTGCCTTCTATGATTTCCTAAAAATAAACACTAAATAAAACTGGAATAACCACAGCAATTGCTGTCATCGAAGTAAGAGCTTGCGACAACATATGATGACGTGTTTGGGTGTTGTTGTGTTGTCCCATTTTTTTGGGGTAAAATTTGAAGCCCTTCCCCTCCACACTCTGTTTCATAGGCCTAGGGAATGGGTAGGGGTAAAAGTAGAAATGGAACTGGCCCTAAAAAAAGCACAGAAGTATTATGTAAAAATTTGTATGGTGCATATGGAGAGAAAATGAGCACGTCTCATGACTGTTTAAGCATTCCAAGCCAGTTTTAAGCAATCAGGCACAACCATTTATAATGTTTGTAACTTAAAGAAAGATTACTGAAGTCTATACAGTGTTAAATTCCATTTGATAATTCAATTTATGTACCTGAATACTTTTAGACCCCCAGAAACTATAAAGCACTATTTATTTTATTTGAATCTTTGCTACTGTCTTCATCAATGCTTGTAATTGGTTTGTTATATCTTAACCAGGGGCCTCATGTACGAAGACTTGCGTGAAATCATACTAAAGCATTGCGTACGCAGAAAAAAATTCAGATGTATGAAACACAGCGTACGAGGAATCACACGCATATTCTTTTGTACATCCAAATGAACGTGAAACTGAGCGCAACATGCACGAGTGCAAAACCCCTCCCTGCCTCCTATGCTAATGACTCTACTTTGGCAAAATCCAAAGAAAAAGCAATAGCAAGAGAGAAAAACGGAGTAGACCAGAGAAAAACTGTGTTATTTGCAAGTTTGTCCTCCAGAATTATTAACAAAAGGAAACAATAGAGTGGGAGAGTTTAACTAATGCGTTTAACACAGTTAAGTCTGAACATCGCACTGAGTGGATTAAAAAAAGAAATAGTGAGATGTATAAGTGCAAAATGTTGTAGGGGTGGCGTAGCTCGTGAAACGCATGCCAACATGTTTTGACACATTCGAGCTTGAACTCGGTTTAAATCCACCGTCTGATGAAGTCGTTCTTCTTATTCTTTCCTTCCTTTCAATTTAACACAACTGCCTCTAGGAGTCGCCAATGGAAATAAAACCGACATGCACAAAAAAATGTGCGTACGCCAGCCATGAAGCTGGCGTGGAGCTGCGCACATTCTCACGTTCATTTCATCGTTAGTAAATCCAAACGTGAGCGATTCTGAGCGTGAAACCTGGCATACGCAAAGTTTTTGTGCGTACGCAGCGTTGATACATGAGGCCCCAGATGTACAACAAAATTATCCCAATCGATCTAAAATGACTAATTCTTTCCAAATAGAGCCATTCAAGTCATCTTGTGAAATTTATACTTAATAACGCAATATGTATCGCAGAAAAGTACAATATCGCAATGTCAGTTTTTGTCTAATATTGTGCAGCCCTAATTTATTGGTTAATCAATGAATCAACTACTCATTATAGAATATGATTTAAATGTTCAATACGTTGGCCAACCCTGATCAATTCTGGATATTCTAACTCCCTAAGGTTGAAGGGAAAACGGCTGTAGGTCAGCTGGAGAAATGGGGCGGAGATGGATCCCTGGACCTGGAAGACTCACTGATTCGGGGTGAAGCAGGTGCATATGAGCGACACCAGATGGAGCGACGGCGGCTGCAGGCTAAACAGCTCCATGCAGAGCGGAGGAAAGCCTGGTTGAGGAAGAACCAGGCTCTGCTCAGAGTCTTTCTCAGTTACTGCAGTCTGCACGGGGCCAAGGGTGGAGGAGTGACATCAGTCAGGATGGAGCTACTCTTCCTGCTGCAGGAATCACAGCAAGTGAGTCCTCGCATGATGGTTAACATGCTGATTTATTTATACTCTCACACGGTCGAATGCTTAGTTCAGTGTGTTCTAATACAAATGATTGGCTGTGTGTCTTTAGGAAATGACAGTGAAGCAGCTTCAGTCTCCACTCCCCCTCCCCACCACTCTGCCCCTGCTGTCGGCCAGCATCGCTCCCACCAAGACCGTCATCGCAAACCCCGTCCTGCACCTCAGAAATCACATTCACGACATCCTCTTCACCATTGTTCAGATGGAGGCTCCACCACACCCAGACATACTGGACGACCGGGTAAAGCACACACTCACCAATAGAAACTGTGTGAAAAATGTAAATAGAACGTAAAGTCGACATGAACTGGAAGCTGCGACCATTTTTTTTTATTGTGACGCAGTTCCTAGAGAACTAAATATTAAATAAGAGAACAGTGGGCGTGGCTTGTTTTTTCTACTGCAAGCTGATTGGATGTAGTAAAGTAGGCATTTCATTCAGAAAGTTTGGGAAAAGGGTTTTAGAAGAGTCATTACAACCTAACAGACACCTCCTTCTCACTGTTTCTCTCGTTTGTTTTCAAAACTGAAAGTTTGAGGGGTGTGGCTTAGTTTGTAAGCCACGCCCACTACCACAGACTGACATAATCTTAGAATTAAATTTTAGAATTTAAACTTAGATTTTAATTTTAAATTACAAGACCAAACAGTTATTTTTTAATGATTTGCACAGACAAATTGTTTACCAGAAAAACTAGCAATATGAGCTAACAAAATCAATATGGTTAGTTTTGATTTCATTTGTACTTTAAAGGAATAGCAATGCAGCAATGCATTTTCTGGCAGAAGTCAGGATCTTTCTTGGTTTATTGTGGTCCCTGCAGTACAAAATACCCTCTTTTAGTTGCAAAATGCAGTCAAATAATTAAATAAATAATCAGATTTGTGATTTTTCTTTAACACATTCACATAAATGAGTCACCGGTGTTTTAGGAGTTTACACTGTTAAAATAAGCAGTTTTTTTTTTTTATAATTTCTTAATAATAATAGTTTATTATTGGGCTATATTTGTAAATACAGTCATGTAAAAGCATTTTTAATATTCAAGATGTTTTTAGGCTACTACAGAAAAAAAGGACTGTTTTCATTGTAACCAAACGTGTGTTTATTAAACTATTAATATTAAACTAATTTAGAGGGACCTTATGTGATTGACTGCTACTATAACGATGTGGGTGATGTACCTTTAGCTAGTCAGTCAAAAACTTTTCATTTGTCTTTCTGCAGTTAATGCACTTTTGAAAGACGTTTAGCCAGATTGCTGGCGTTTCTGCTTTTACAAGAAAACAACTTGTTGCGTTTGTTGCAACGGGCATTGTCAATGTCCACTCGGGAAATACAACCCGTTTGGTTCTCTCTGCCACTCCGCAATCTTACGAGCTGTGTGTGCGCACAAGTCTGTGTTGCCAGCTATGTGTGTGCGCTTAGCCGAGAACTGTAAAGGTTTTTATACTTGACACGCTCGCCGTTGTAGTATTGGGTGAAAGCACAAGCATTTCTCATGTGAGATTGCCAAATGTGCAGACGAATTAGAAAATGTTGATCAGTTAAACTATGCTACTGTACGTAATGTTTATTCAGCAATAATTCTCAAGTACCAATAGCAAAACCATTACCGTCAGAGCTAATCAGTTCTTCTGTGTTTTATAGTTTTTCCATCCTTATTCATAAATTATTCCCATTTTTATCTATGGTTATTGCAGTATGCGATTTTCACAGCATGTTTGAGTGTGGGCAAGTATAGAAAAAAACACTAGCATGGATAAAAAGCATTTTAAAAATAAACCACTGATCTCTGTCTGAATGAATATATACAAAGCTTGTCTGTGCTTCTACTAATGTGCATGTGTGTTTCAGGTGAATGCTTTACACACTCTTGCTGCTTCTCTGTCGGCTTGTATCTACCAATCGCTGTGTGACAGCCACAGTTACAGGTACACTGCTACTAATCAACTGCGCCTGTTTACCATTCTGTCAGCTTTACACACATGTACACTTACTGTCAAATACTCACACATTTCCTTCTGTTGTTTGTGTCTTCAGCAGTCAATCGGAGGCCAGTCAGTTCACTGGGATGGTGTATCAGGGACTGTTACTGAGCGACAGGCGTAGACTTCGCACTGAGAGTATTGAGGAACATGCAACTCCCACCTCTGCCCCTGCACAGTGGCCAGGTAACAAAACATCAGATCGAACTACACCGATTACACTTGCTGAAAAACTAAGCTAATCCTCATCATTCTGAGAGTTACTAAATGTGTCACTGGTGGTCCAGGTGGGGATGAAATAATATGGGAACATTACTAACTCTCACTGGCATCTGATTGCATGTTAACAGAATGTCCATCAATAAATGGAAATAAAATATATTTTGCCACTGAATACCTGCTACACAACAAAAAAAACAAAGTGAATGAATGAATGAATTACTGAATGAATGAATTAATGAATTAACAAATTAACGAATGGATTGATTGATTGATTGATTGATTGATTGATTGATTGATTGATTGATGGATTGATGGATGGATGGATGGATGGATGGATGGATGGATGGATGGATGGATGGATTGATTGATTAACTGATGGCCTGAGAGCTGTAGTGATTGGGTGGATAAACAAAAGAATTGATCGGTTGATGGAAAATACTGCTGAATTGATGAATGAATAAAATAATTAATTAATTAATTAAATGATAGTCTGAGAGATGGAGTAATTGGGTAGATAAAAAAAATAATTGATGGTTGATGGAAAATACTGATAAATGGATGAATGAATGAACTAATGGTCTAAGAGATTGAGTAATTGGGTGGATAAACTAAAGAATTGATGGGTTGATGGAAAAATACTAATGAATGGATGGACAGATAAAGAGGTAATTGTGGATGGATGGTAAACTTTGTTGGATGAAAATGTGGATGCAAAGACAAATGCATGAATGGATGAATTAATGAACTGAATTAATGGATGGATGGAGTAGTGGATGCACATAAATATAAATAAACTCATAGGTGGAGAAAGAAAGAGTTAATTTTTTTATTAATTAGTTGGAAAGATGGGTCAATGAGTGACTTGATGCGTTGACAGAAGAAGGATGGATGGATGGATGGGTGGGTGGAAGGATGGATGGATGTATAGATGGATGGATGGGTGATTGGATGAATGCATGAACTGAATTCATGGATGAATGGATGGGTGAGTGAATGAATGAATAATTAACTGAACCCATGGATGGATGGATGGATGAAGCCAAGAATAGATAGGTAGACAGTAGATGGGTTCATGGAGGGACAGTCGAATGGATTGAATATGTTGGATAAACAAATGAATGTTGAGGTTGGAGTAGTGGATGCACATCAAAATGAATAAACTGATGGAGAAAGAAAGAAAGAAAGAAAGAAAGAAAGAAAGAAAGAAAGAAAGAAAGAAAGAAAGAAAGAAAGAAAGAGAAAGGTGGGTCGATGAGTGACTTGATGGGTTGACAGAAGATGGATGGTTGAAAATGTGTTGAATGGAAAGAATAATTTGCTGGATAAATGGATGAAAACATTAATTAATGTTTAGAAAGATGTATTGATTGGGTGGATGGATGGTCAGCCAGATAGATAATGGAGAGATTGGGTCATTAAATGGAGGATGGATGATAGATAAACTAATAGACTAAACATATGATGAATCGAATATTTAATTGATAGGTTAAAGGATGGAGCCAAGGTTAGAGGAGTGGCTAAATGGATGGATTATGGACAAATCAATAGATTGAGGAGAGAATGGATAGTAAGAGAATGTGATGGAGAAAGGTTTTGCTTGATTGACGAATGATGGGTTCGTAGACAGTTGTATAGATAAAATATGTTGGATGAACAAGTGAATGTGTAGATTAGAGGTTTTTTAGGCCAAAATTAAAGTGGTGATTATGGATGAATTATGGTTCATGCATAAACCGATAGATTGAGGAGAGGATGAATAGTAAGAAAATGGGATGGATGTAGAAAAAAGTCCATGGGTTGACAGAAAAAAGATGGATGACTGATAAATGAACAGGAGGGAATGGATGAATAGAACTGACAGATGGATGAAATGAAGTTGTAAACTGAAGGTCTGATGGCTGGACTGATGGATTGGTTGACAATCAGAAGGATAAATGGGTGGCTGACAGATAAACCATAGACTTATAGGTTGTTGTAAATAGAGAATACATGGGTGTATTAACTGTAATTAACTCTGTGTGTTCATTCTGATTCTCAGGTGTGTCGTCTCTGATCAGTCTGTTGGGATGTGCTCAGGGCGATGATTACGTGCGTCTGAACGTTATGCTGTGTGAGGCTGTGGTGGCCGTGTATCTCAGTCTGCTGATTCACGGTCTCGGCACACACTCTGGAAACGAGCTCTTCCGACTGGCCGCTCACCCACTGAACAACCGCATGTGGGCTGCTGTGTTTGGGGGCGGAGCCAAACTCATAGTCAAGCCCAAGCGGCCACCTGAAATCGCCCCAGGTAAGTTCCTCTCCCCATTCCTCTTTTATTTGTTAATGGTCGTGTCCTGTTGAATTAGGATTTCTTAAAAAAAATTTATGTTTCGGCTAGTTTTCCACATGCAAAGTAAAGTTGAAAATAGTCACTGGGTGCTCAAGCTGATAATCAGATTTCCTCCCTTGTCAGCTGCTCTCAAGGCAGCAGCGAGCGAGGGGTCAGAGGATGTAAAAGTCGCAGATTCTGACCCCCCGGCCATAACCGTCAATCAAGCACCGCCTCTCACGGAGGCTGGGAACAACAGTAACGTCACAGTGGAAATGGCACAGCCCGAGAGCTGTGAGTAAAGGAAACTTTCTCCACACAGGAACAGGAAATTAGATCTGTCAGATTTTGGAGTGCATTAAAATTATAAAGAAAATTATAAATGATAAACAAATTGCCTTAACTAAAACATATATTTATACATATGGAATATAAGAATATGGAATGTAAGGGCGTACTCACACTATGTATAGTTGCCTTGAAGCGGGCCAAAGCACACTTGTCTCTTCTCCCATCTCCCCCAACGGCCCGCACTCACATTACATTCAGGCCTGGACACGCTTACATCATTGATGATGCGCTGTTCAATAGACAAGCGCTCTCACTCAGCACAGTTGCTCAGCACAGTGGAGATCTCTTTATTTATATGCAGTGACACGCAGTCAAATATTTCGCTGAACAGATCTGCTATTTTTGGCACTCATAAACAACCATAAAGTCCTCGTGCTGCAGGTATTAAAAGGTTTGCTGAAGGTGCAACTGTTGTGAAGTGAGGGGTTTGCGTCTTTAATAAGCTACGACAGTTTGCGTTCATTGAACAGTAAGAATGATTAATGAATTCATATGAAACAATCCAGTAAAAGTCTCATCTTTAGTTTCGGGCTCAGACACGCTTTGCATTCACACTATAAGCATGCCACACCAAAGCCCAAGTATACTGCGCTCTGACACCCCTCTTCCAACCATGCCTGAGCCTAATTCAGTGCGCTCACACTCAAAACGATCCGGGAAAAGGTCTTGGGCACGTTCGGATAGCATAGTGTGAGTAGGCCCTAAGAATTGTACTCGCCTGGGAAACTGAGGCTACTTGAATGGTGTGTGAGCACAATGAAGTGCACACAGCATGCCATATCATCTGATAATTGTAGGAAATAATTTCAAAAGGCAACTGACTGTCTAAAGCCACATAAAAGAAAGCAGAACAATATATACTGAGTTCAGTGGCTAATCAGCTGAGGTGACATGACGTGACGGCGACAAGTGAGACCCAGCTGTCACTCAAGCGGCCACGCCCTTAATTATGCAGACTTAATGTAAAGAAAACAGATGAGTTATAAAAAAACTTCACCCCCTTACAGTTGTAATATTAGCTATACACACCAAAAGTTTTTTGTAGGCTATAAACACCTTTTTTTTTTTTGGCTATTTTAACATTGGCGTCAATAAAAATGTGCTTTATTTTGGAGCCAGGTCAAGCAGAATGCTGGTGAATTGCAGCTTCATTACTTCTGTAGTAGCTTCATGAGTGAGAGCGGGATGGTCCCGATTGGTTCCACACAAATCATTCATGTTTTCCCAACACAAATCAGTTTAGTTAACTTAATAGTTTTTACAAATTTAAGTGAACTGAACATTAAACACTTAAGTTGTCCCAAAGAAAAACTTAAGAATTATGTTGTTTTAACTCATTTTAAATAAGTAGTTTGAACAAGCAGCAAAAGTCTTATGTTTTCTCGTCTACAGTGATTGGCTAGAATAAGTAGAATTATCAGTCCTGTGATTCAATCAGATCTTGTATAAATAAAACTGCATCAGACAGACCGTTAATTGTTAACATACTGTTGTCAACTATATATTCAGAATAGAATAAACATAAATGTCATAAACTGTCTGTGCCATTAGCCTAGTGGTTAAGTGCGCCGACATATAGCACCATGGTGCTCACGGCGACCCGAGTTCGATTCCCAGCTCGAGGTCCTATGCCGACCCTTCCCCTCTCTCTGGTCCTAATACTTTCCTGTCTGTCATCCACTATCCTATCCCAATAAAAGGTGAAAAACCCCTAAAACATAAAAATAAATAAATAAAAAATTCTAATAAACACTCCAACAAATAAATTGCTTATTGTTCCTAAATGTAAGGTAATGTTCCTGTTAGTGTGTGGAGAAGTGCTGCGTGGGTTTGCTGTGATATTTGTTCCTCATGTGTTGCATTTCATCATTTCTTTACTTGATAATGTTCTGTGTGTGTGTGTGTGTTGTTTGTGATTTCGTCCAGCTTATTTTGTTTCTGTCACTGATTTGTGTGTCTCTCATCATCACATGTGTGTGTTTGTGTGTGTGTCTGTGACCATCACAGCCAATATGGAGTCAAACAAGCAGGCAGAGCTCCAATCTGAGAATAACGCAGGTACACACACTGTCTCCCTCCGCCTGTTTTTCTGTTCAGGCTTTTGACCTCTTTCAAACTCTAGATGTGGACGTGCGTCTGTGTATATATATATGTGTGTGTGTGATAGTCGACCTCCCTGCAGTGTGTGTGTAGAGTGCCTCAGGCTCAGGTGCACACCAGCTGTCTATGGTCAACATTTGCAAAGTTTGTTCTGTTCTCTTTCTGTCTGAACTGGTATGACCTTTAAAGAGGAATTTAAAGAAATGAAAAACACTCCTGTTTTTTTAAGAGATATGTCATGCAAAACATGTTCTGTTTTGAGCTCTGATGCCCTGTTTTGAAATCCTCTTAGTTGTAAGGCTACACCCATGTGATCAAAAGTATTGAGTGTAAATAAATATGTGTATAGACATCAGCTTTTCCTTCCACTAGTTGGCTAGTGGACCAAAGATGACACTGAAGCCTGAAGTGATGTAAAGGGATCTACTAATCACTTTATAAGGGGTTTAAAACACATTTATGAAGCAATAGTCTGTGAATCTATCCAGCTTCTAATGCTAAGAATAAATTATTTTATTTTTTTTAGAATCTTACTTCATAAAAAGAGTCTGCAGAAACACTTTGATTGACATTGTCCCTTTGTAAATGTCATCAAAGGGAAAAGTCCCACCCATTAGTGATGATCTCTCCCTTATTAGCATCAGACGTGGGTTTTGTTTTTGAATCTGCCTCTATGCTGACACATGGGCATCTGTAGCTCCACCCTATTTTGAAAAGAGCACAATCTCATTTAAATTTAAATTAATTTAAAGTGACAGTCATCAAAGTGCCACAATTAGGATCAAAACCTAAAAGGGACAGTTTCAAAGAGTTATTAAACATGTGGGGTATTTTGAGCTGAAACTTCACATTAGAGATCTGCGTGGAACTAAATTTTTAATCCTGCTCCCGCCCAAACCCGCCAAGTTTTAGTCCGAACCGACCGCTCCTGCTTATATTCAGCATCGTTTTGTCCTGCTGCCTGCCCCACCTTGTTTTCTACCCACCACGCCCGTTCCCGCTAATGGGGGTGGACAAAACCAAACAGCTATACAGAGTCCAGACAGCCTATAACAAGCTGTCTTTATAAACACACACATTAATAGACACACAGCATCAAGCAAGTGACTCACAGACAACATCACGCTCTCTCATTCCCACACATACACATAGACAGCACCAATCTCTCTCTCATTCCCACACATACACACACACACACACATAGGAAGCAACAAACAAGCTATGCATAGCATCACGCTCTTTCATTTACACACATAAGCGTGATCGCACGCTCAGGAGTCAACAGAGATATTGCTAGACCGCCCGCTCACGTTCAAATTACACTAGTTATGGACCGCTTCCGTGCTTTATTCAGTAAATTTATTCCCGCGCCACAAGAAATCTGGTTGGATCCCGCGGCTATGCAGGCCTCTACTTCACATACACACTCAAGGGACATCTAAAATCTATTTTACATTTTTGTAAAAGAGGCATGAGAGGTCCCATTTAATGAAACTCTACTGACATCATTTTGAAAGGCAAAAAGCATGCTTGTGGAAATGAGAGCTAAGGGGGAAAGACCTTAAGCACACAAATTTAAATACAAGTGGAAAAAAACTATTTTGTTTGCACTAAGGAAAGCTCTGAATTTAGGTCTTGCACAATATAATTAAAAATTTGTTTAGTTTTTTGGTTTTTCAATCTGTGACTTCATAGTTTCTTATTCTAAATATTTTTGTACTTATTAGATAGAGATTTTTTCAACACATTTCTAAACATATTAGTTTGTTCTGTAGACTAACAAAAAATATATAGCTTTAAGAGGCTAATTTTGACCTTAAAATGTTTTTTTAAAAATTAAAAACAGCTTTTATTAAGACTTTCTCCTGAAAAAAAAAATTCATTTTAAGAGTATTATTGAATAATATTCAAACGTACATGATTTATGTACAAAACAACGTGTAATGTTTATATTATTAAGTAATAAGCATTCTGTTTGTGTATTAAACGAGAGACTTCAGTTTTACTTACAGCGCTCAACATATATAAGTACACCTCTCACAAATCTATCTTTTAAATTCATATTTTTATTAGGAAGCTATGCAATATTATATTTGTGTATATACATTAGATTAGTCTGTACTCAAGCCAAATCTGGAGCTTATCTTACAAAATAAATCACGATAATAGTCCAAAAACTAGTACACCCAATTTTATGTTATATAAAATTATTAAATACAAAAAAAGGAAAAAAAAAAATCAAGAGAAGAATTTAGTTGAAATTTTGTAGGTTGTATTTTAGTTTTTGGCGATATTTTGCTTGAATTTAATTAAATTATCTTTCAATTTCTAAATATGTTTGGTAACTAAAATACTATTTTACTAAATATATTTGTTTAATAAATCCATTGTGTTTAAATGCTCCATTAACTATATTTACTGAGAAGTAGATAAAAATATTCATTTTTAAAATAGTGTGTACTCAATTATGCTGAGCACTGTATTAAACAAGTTCTAATTGGAATTGCATTGTAAACCTTAAATAAAAA